CCCCAAAACCCCAAAACCCCAATATCAATATTTAATCTAAATTCTTGACAAAAGTAATTCAAATTATTTAAAATTGGTCAGCTTAATTTTTAACAATTAATAGTCTTAATCATAAGATACTTGTTAAGGTTGAAATCAATTTGGCTTTTCTTTTACGTTATTTAAATTAAGCTTTAGAATCTTATGGGGTAAAATTCAAATTATCTTCAATTTACTATCCAATGCTACTTTGTTTTTAATCATTTTAAAAAGCAGTTTTTCTTGACTTAAATTTTTTAATCAGATTATTTCTATAATTTTTCTTAAGGACTGTTTAAATCCTAGGCTTGTTCTAAATTTTTTTGATTGGCTAGATAGGCATCTTTCTATTCTTGTCACAATTTATTTCTATGACATCTTCTAATTATTCAAAATTATCATCTATCTAAGTGTTTGATAACAATTTATGATTGAGATTCAACTAAGTTTTAGATGACGTAATGTATTCTGAAGTTTAGTTTAGTTTAATATTTGTAAAAGACTATTCTTGTATAATTTTTTGCTATATATTTTTCATATTATTATCTGAGGTTCGATATTTTTATTACTACTTATTTTTTATTTTATCTTTTATTAATTTAATCAGTGAATTTATACAATTTGCAATAAAAATGCTGAAATTTAAACTAATTACTAGAAGAATCAGAGCCAAAATAATAAAGCCAAGATCAAATCTCATTTCCTAATCTTAATAGTGGTTGGTGTATACTGTTAAAAAAAAGAATATAAGACTAATTCCTATTTCGTTAATTATTTCTATTATATTATCAATCAATCTTTGATATGGCTTGAAGTTTACCAGATATATTGATTAAAAGTAACAGCTTATTATTTAAGACATCAGTTGAATTCCTTAATATCTCATCAAGAATACTATGCTAAAAGCATATTGAAGTCTTCTAAATAGAAATATCACTGTGTAATAATAAGCCTCAGGCTTATCTGTTTGTAAGTTCAAATAAAGTGACCCGAAAATTTAATGAAATTTAGAGTTTTCGCTTCTTATCTTATTTTTATATAATAATGCAAATATACAGAAAGGAGTTAGCAAATACAGTCCCAAAAATATTGCAGCAACTATTAAACTGGTACTCTAAATTTCCTCATTTACATTCTAAAAAGATGTTAATGCTTGAAATTACAAATTTAAAGTCTAGACATAAGCTAAGGATATTTTTCATATAACTTTTAAGGAAAAATTGTATCAAAGTTGAAAGATAGAGAATCTTTAAAATCTTTTCAATAGCCTATTTAATCCTGAATGTATATTAATAATTGATAGTTTTACTTATTCTACATCAGTTTCACCAATACTATGATAATCACAATTAATGTTAAAATGAATCCAGCTAAAATGGATGTCAAGATTAAACTTCAAATTAATTAATCCTAGGAATAACGTTTTAAGTTAATGTTAACATCAATATTCTACTTATATTTAAAAGATATCCATTTATGCAAAAGCTTCTTATGTATCATCAGTATTCTCATTAAGCTGCCCTAAAATAATGTTTGAGACTTCTGGTGGAATTAAATTTAAATTCGAAATGTCAATTATAGATTGCAGGCATATCATTAAGTTTGAAGGTATACTAAGCTCAAGTATTAACAAGAGTCCAAATTCTTTTCATTGTAAATCCAAGTAATACTTATAGTAGCATATTTACGTAGATTCCAGCCTCAATTGCATTTCCAAAAAATTTGAAAGTTTTCTTAAATGTCTCCATCATAGCAAAATAAAGGGTCTACTAAGAAGTTCTGAAAAGCCTATTATCTGTAAATTTAATTTTAAGCTATTCTTAATCTCCCTTCAAATTGATTAAAATTTAATAAAATCTTACATCATTTAGTTGCAATATCTAGCTACTATTGAAATACAATTATATCCTTATTGTATCATTAGAAATATTTTTGATTTCAAATTTTTCGATTTCTTACTCTTAATTCTAATCGTTTGAAGAATCCACCCACAACATCTTTAACGACTTCTCAACTTCAGTATAGTTAAGATACTGATACCCTAGTAATCCATTTGAGAAAAATATCCAAGTTAGACCTTGACTATCTATCTTTTTAATTTTGATAAAGCATTCTTTAAGTAAGACACAGAAATCTTGCAAGTTATTTCCATCTAAACTTGAGTCATTTTAGAATGATACTTTAAAATTTAAGGAAAGCTGCTTTGCTACTTTTCCATTTAGAAATACTATGGGGAGTAGATACCAACATCATTACTTTTAGGCTTTATATAGATTGTGTTATCTTCCATTGAAATGAAGGAAGTAGCTCATCCTGATTCTAAAATTACTTTAAGATCATTTTTTAAAATGAAGTCTTTTGCACATTAAGGTAAATCATATCTAGAGGCAACTTCGATATTAAATGTTTAATCTTATAGTATGCAATCTGCTAATTAATCGACTGTAGTTTCCTTATAAAGTTTATTTAGAATATCCTACATAAATTTTGGGAGGGTATTCTATAAACTTTGGAAAGCAGTTATCATAAGTCTTATCTAAAATAGTGGGATATTAACTTAATCAGCGAATTGAATATAAAAATCAAGTAAATTATCAGAGTTTATTTAAGGACAAGCGATAACAATTATCCCAAGATTATAGTCTAGTTTTAATAATTTTGCTTACACTGGAGCTAAGATTCTTCGAGCTTAAATCTAATTTTTTGTTTAAGCACTATCTATTATTGAAATTATAAATGGACAGTCTGGAATAGTCTTGCTAATTATGCTAGATACATTTACAGTAAATTAACTTTCTCCACCTTAACAAAACTAACTATTGTTGAGGAGGCTTCTACGAGCTTAAATATTAGATTAATCACATTTCGGTGTAATATTAAAGTACTAGTCGTAAAAGAGGTATTTATTTTTCTCCCTGGTGCGCAATTAGTATTAGTAGGTGGTTAAATTGAGATTTTATGTATCTTAAATAGAGAATGTATTGTTTGTAGCAGATGTATAATTTAAAGTAATCAAAGGTCCAGATTAAGTTACAGGAGTTATAAGATATAAAAATTGCATAGGACATTTTTCAGATACCGATTTCTCTAGGCTATTCTTTTCAAAATAAAATTCCTATAGCTGATTTATTCCTTTTTTTACGAAATATTCAGGTAGGATTTCAGTGTCTCCGATCTATTAAATATAAATTAGATAAATTATTAGGAAAGATATTTTACCTATAGGCAAGATTTGCTCTAAGTTATCTTTACGTTCCAACTTATCCTATAGTCATTTATAATCTCATGAGTCACTGGGATTAACTAATTTAGTTTTGATTCACCTATTAATACTAATGGTATCTAGAGATTATTCGGTGTTTGAATAAAAGTTGAAGTATATTAGTCATCAAATGCAATACATTTATTTGCAGAGTTAGGTTCAAATATGAAAGATTATATGTATGATGTTTTAGTTTGAGTAACACAATCAATATAGCCTTTAGCATAGCCAAAAACATAGAATTTACCTGATTACTTAGCAGTCACAAATGAATTTAATATTTGAGGGATGTTCGTAGTAGCTCTTAATCTGTAACTTTAAGTAGTATATTTCTAGGTTTTCACATTCAGCTTCACTCTTAAAGCTGCAGTTTATTAGTATGAATAGCATGCTAGATCTATTGCATCTTGTGAGAATATCATTCTAGTTGCTTGTGCAGAGGATGCCAAAACAATTTACTACTTTTATGGATTAAGAATGTCAATTTTTATCTGAATTATTTCTTAAGTTTCATCTTTATGAAACAAGAAAACATTAAGATATTCCTAAATTCTTAAAACTACTGCATAGTAAGGCATACTGTAACCTATTATAATAAGCAAAAACTTAAAAATGATACTTACCAAATGCTTTAATGTTATTATCTTGATTGGTTTAATTTGGATGAACAAGATACTGAAACTTTGAAATTTCAGATGTATATGAAAATCTCATTAATGCTATGTTAATTCGATTGACAAAAACTGGAATGACAATCTATGGAGATACTAGAAATCCATTATACATAGGAATTATATTTTGTGTTTATATTAGTGATAAATACTAGTAGTCTGTAGTAAAAAATCCTTCCTCATCTTTTGAATATCTCATTATCACACCAAGTTCATTTTCGTTTTATGTTCCCTATGTATTTAAGAGCCTATATATTTATCCTCCATCTGAGTTAATTTCAATATGCTATTAAGTCCATATTTGGCTTTTAGGATACGTTTTGTAGTATTACTGAATGAACAAATTTAAATCAATAATTAGGAATGAAGGCTCAGCTGATTCTAATGCCTCATTATGAATAACAAGATAATCATCGTTTGGAAATACTTGAATCTTTGTATAGTACTGAGTTTGATATATGTTCATTTATCGCGTTATTTTACCATTATCTATCTGAACATAGAAATTCTATACATCGAATCCAAGTCCATTTTAATCTCCTAGAACATGCATTGATCCATTCTTAGTTAGATCAAGAGATTTTATGATAATATGTTTTTCTATATCCCATAATAGAGTTGGTGTGTAGTTATCAAAATCAGTGGAGGATATAGCATTAATTAGTTTGACCTAGATCAATATAAGAGCCATAAAGGTTATCTATTTCATTTTAGAATTTAATCAATTATATAAATTATATTAATATTATTCTATTGAATTTATAATAAAATGTGTTAAAGTTCATCATATATTTGTGATTTATGTCAAACGGGGTTTTGGGGTTTTGGGGTTTTGGGG